TTTTAAATGTCTAAAACAATTTACGAGGACTTTCGCTTAAAATTGTGCTGGTTAAATCTAAGTCTAGTAATCTTGGCCAGACCCTTGGGCTATTCGGTTGTGGAAAATATATAATGCACTCTTTTTCCTAGCTGACTTCCTCTTTTGTATAAGATAAGCAAACATGCATTTGAAGTCATGCACGAGTGGCTAAACATTTAGGTCTTACCTACGATAAAGGTCTTCTAAAAAATTTCGAAAGAGCGAAACTAACTGCATGATCAGTTTGTATAAATAATTGTATTCCAGGCGTTATAGGTCGATCAAAATGAACTTCGGCTCTCTCTACAAAAGGGCAAAAATGTTTCTCGGGCTGAAAAAATATTCAATTAAAGTGAACGAAATATTATCATAATAATATGAATGCCTTTACTAGAGGTGGTAATAAACGCAGTGAAATAAATCGGTTAGAGTGGGTGATCAATGAAAGAATGATGTAAGGTAATGGAAGAGGCCGAGACAAAACAGGCATTAGGAATTCGCGCGAAAATAGCTCAAATGGTACTATAAGTGCAAAGAAGCTGTATGGGTGCTGCAGAAGATAAAAGAAACAATAATTCACTTAATAAAAAGTGATAAATTTAACAAAAATAAGTGAATGAACAGACTTAGGATTCCAAAACAAAGCGAAAAATTTCAAATGGGGCTAAGGACTGAATAATTTAAATTTGTATTTTAATAATTTAGTGCTAAATATATAAGATGGGATAAATTCGCCAGCCCTTTTAACTTATGCAACGAACTTCAACGTAGAAAAGGGTGAGGGTAATAGAGAAGAGGAGTAGCGAACAGAATGCCAAGTCAGAAAAGGGACTTGATGCTTAGAAATTTGAGAGTTACTTAAACAAACAATAAAAGAAGGCTGAATCTGTTATGGAACTACCCAATCGCCTATTACTAATAAATGTGCCTAGAAGAGTGGAACTATTAAGCTCCACAACTAGATAAGCAGATAAGCTTGAAGTATGCTTGCAAAGGTGGACTCGTCCAAACATGTGTAAGGAAAGTGCGTGTAGGCAGACTAGCTGGCTTTCTGGGTAAAAGTTTAAATACTTGTGAAATATAGGCTGTGAGAATACCTATAAGTGCAAACTTTTGTCGGCGAGTGAATTATTCAAATCAAGCCCAAATTAGGCTAATGGAAAAAAAATAAATTGCCGCCAAACCTGCTAGATTTGTTGAATTTAGATGGCAACAAATATCATGGAAGAAACGTGTATAGTTTTGTTTTAGTGGTATGAATTATTAAATTAGTCATGAATATGTGTGTTTGGATTAGCAATAACTTGTATCCAGACCGCTCAATTCCGGGTAAGAAACGATGAAAGTATATGGTAAGTCTCAGTTTAAATTTTATCGAAAACAAAATTAGTTGGGGCGCCTGAGAAAATATGCAAAACGAAACAACAACTGGCTTGGCACTGATTGTAGATCTTCTTTAAGCCCAAATCTGCCCTTAAATAACTAGTCTCAAAATTTCGAATTAAGTTGAAGTATAGTCAACGCTTCTACTGCTCTGCTTTAACGAGATAGGGACATTCAGGGTAATTAAATACGGTGCAAAAGAAAGGACAAAGAAATACACTTACACATCGCTCTTTGTGGTGTATTTTCTATCGAAAAGCGCCTCCGGAGGCATCCACTTCACAGGCAACCGACCCTGGCAAATTAAAAAAGCACCTGAGGGGACTATTTTTGTAGAGAATTCAAATAATTTAAAGTCCTATAAACTTACGATTAGTCTTCAAAGTGAATGCATAATTCAACTGTTTACATAATAATACTAGATAAGAATGAATGATAACAATAAGCAAAATTTGTCGCAATACTTTATACAAGGCATTTTTAAAATAAGGACTATATTTTGGAAGTAAGAGCCCCCACATAGCAAGAGTCTGCAGTAAAAATAATCTAGATTCGTTCTCAAATGGAGCCAATTCACAAAATGCTTCCAACCAACTTTTACCAAGAAATGAGAAGTCGAATTACGTCAAAACATTCATGCTTTCTTTTACTTTTGCATATAGGTTGCCGAGACTATCAGCGGCTCATATACATGAGAATTATTTACCCTATTTCATCAAGGTGATGAAGGACTGGTAGCTGAATTTTTACACAATGCTATGAGTATATCTTACCTTTCCATTCAATTTCATATCCTTGCTTTCCAAAAGGTTATTATCCTCCAGACTAAGGTGGATTGAAGTTTTGATCTCGCCTAGGCCTCACCAGCACCGCTAGTAGGACCCAAACCATTTTTTTTGAAGTGGGTATTCTTCAAAAAGTTTGACCAGAAGGTATAAAGAATAAATGTTTGAGCTTTAAGGAAAGCTACCGAGACAACACACAGCAAGAAATATGGGATAAGAGCATTCTAACTAGTTGCTGTTGGGATAGAAGGAAAAAATCGGATATAAACTGGGTAAGTTATTAAGGAGCTTGAACATAGGAATAGATTGGAGGCCATAGCATCTACAGTTGGCAACAGTTGTCAATTGATGAATGTGGCCTTACAAGAATGACGTGCCAGTAGCTGACTTACATCACTTGTTTTCCTGTAATAATCAGAGACGGAGCGAGTAAGGCCAAAATCGGCAATTTTGATCACGAAATTTCGGCCGACTAAAATATTACGAGCGGCCAGGTCACGATGGACAATCTGGAAGAGAAATAAATTCAGTCAAGAGACAAAAAATATCACATACCCGGGTTCCAAAAAAGACTGCTATAAAGACTAACTTTGAATATGCTTCATGCGCAAATTTATGATATACAATAGGGTGGACTCCTGTCTAATATGACGAACGCTGAATTTAAGCCCTCTTGTAGGCTTCAAAATTAATCAGAGAAACCTATCCATCTCCCGAAATAGTATTGTAGATAAATCTGTTATAACATTTTACATGTAGTTTAGATATGTCTACCTGATTTCCGATTAAAGATATGATTGTCGTCATATAATAAATCCTTCTCCCTTTATCAAAAAGCCTGTGAAAATAATTAGAATTCGAATAGTCAGACCACGAATTGATAACTGTGGTGTTGATACTGACTTTTAGTAAAATTATGATGGTGCTAACGTAGTCACGCTAAATGGGGCCTTACTTGGACAGTTAAGGTAGATATCCGATTTTACAATGAAGTTCAAGTTGATGCAGTCCGCTAAACATACTCCTTTGAATTAGGTGACAAAGATCTGGGTTTTTGTCTTGTAAATAACAAGTATGCTCAGAGCTTGAACTTATTTTTACAAAACAATAAAGTTAATAATGGGCCAGGAAGAATAAATAGAGGGAAGAAATCAAGAGAATCGAATAAGAATCCAAATAAATAGTCTCAATGTGAAGGAGGCAATCAGGGAAACAAATAAGAGAGATAGATCAGGATAATGATAGCCAGAGTTTTTGATAAGTTGTAATTCTGTGCTTAGGATAGCACCTTTCACTAAATATGCCGACTAGGATGCCAGCGAAACGTCTAGGAATGTTTCAAAAAACGGTCCAACTCTGGAAATTATCATGAATGCTACAGCACAGGACGCAGAGCTAGGTAAGCTTCACTAGGTTCCATGTCGCTCCGACCAAGTTTCGAAAATGAGATTAAACCAAGAGTATACAGCTAAAGGAGACTACGACCAAACAAAAGGCAACACCATCTTGGACTTCATATCTACTACAATCTGTAAAATTTGGTTTAAAAGCATGCCAGAATAAATAGAGATTCGGAAGATTACAAAGTTCAATTCTCATACTATTTTAGTTTTTTAGCGCGATATAAGTGATTGATTACTCGTCGTTAAAAAAATTACGCCTCCATCACAGCATAAAGGGCATTGTTTTTATGCAATTATTGCAAGACAAGGGATCACTTAGCATAGACTAAAACAGACTAACCGATCTTAAGGATAGGTATTCCATGCCTCTAGCGACCTGAAGACCAAAATTGAGCAAATCAGACCTGGAAAGACAAGGGGCCAAAAGCTTGCGAGGAGAGGATTTATCCGACAGCTGAGTTGGCCTGCGCAGACGAAGGAAGTCTCTCAGATTGCCATGAGGAGCGTATTCCACGACCACTTGTAACGGACCTAGATAGATAAATCAGAGATAAGGCCCAAAGATAAACAAATGCAAAATTTGGTTAACCACAAGGAAATGAAAAGGCATGAGAATAAACTTGGCTGAGCAGTCCAACTGGGCCGCTGTCCCATATAGTTACAAACAAAACCAATCATCCTGAAAAGGATCATATAATAACGAAATGAACACAGCAACTTCAGATTTTATTGACATTCTGAGGCATTCTACTCACCTCGTCGGGGAAAATTCAATTAATATGAGATGTATTCACCCTATTTCGTTTAAGGTGATAAAGGACTGGTAGTAGAATTTTCCCACAATGATATAAATAGAGCTAACGTTTCCAACACAGAATGTGATATGGCAAATGCCTGACATTCCTTGAAATTTATCGTATATAAGTCGTGTCGAGACTACCAGTAAATCAGTTACATGAGACGTATTCACCCTATTTCGTTTAAGGTGATAAAGGACTGGTAGTATAATTTTCGCAAAATGATAAGAGTAGAGCTGACTTTTTCATTGAATTTCACATAGCCTTGCTTTCCCAAAGGCTTTATCAACACCCCAAGTGGGAGTAAAACCATGACATTGCAGCGTGCAAGCTCAACGCGCCAAGTACTACGCCGCATTGTCATGAGTGCCTCCGGGTCAGAGGGCAGATACGACCATAAACAAAATATAGTGAATACATCTTATATAATTAATTT